GGGGGGTCCCCTGTTCGTACCACGAATGGAGTCTGTAACGGATTGCCTGGCACCTCGACTGAGTACCTCCGTTAAAGGATGCTCCTAGTGTTTCCTGAGGACTCCAAGCACTCTGGCAGACACCACAATCACCGAACCGAAGAAGCATATAAATCCTCTCAAGCATTTGAATGCTGTAGACAGTTGAATAGGAAACCATATGAATAGGTTTACACTCGTAGCAGTCAAACTGGAACAGCATACAATAAATCCTCCCCCAAGAATGAGACGACACTTCACTTTGAGGGTTAAAACAGGAACTCCCTGTACTGGCACATACAGCCTCTTTTATTCACAATCCACAAAACATAGTACTGCCCACAGGGTTTTGCAGAACCACCAATAAACACATTACAACACATACAATGCAAGTACAGCAGCCAATCAGACACAATGGGAAAATAGAAAACACACCCAGCATATTCCTCCCCTCTGCTTAGGAGATAATTTAGTCAATTACTGTATCTACTCAATTATCTCCAAGCTGAAAAGTTACTTTTTGTACATTTTTTATAACTTTGTGCGTTAACATCGTACATACATAAAACTTATATTATTTTAACCAGTATAAATTGGGGACAAACATATCCAAAATTCACTTGAATAGGTTCAGGGGTTTAACGGTTAGGTCGAAGTCCTTTGTTTTCACTTGCAAGCATGATTTTTCCCGGCAAACCAGTTCCCACTGGTTTGGCAGTGTCCCTGGGACAACACCCTGCTGGAGAACAATGGATCCGGGAGAGGGGAAGAGGAAGTGTCCAAAAAGTTTCAGTATGTCCATACACTGTTTTTAAAAGGCCAACACAGTACAATAAAAGTCCATTCACTGTGCTTATAGGGCCAGTAGCCGCACAATAAAATACAATATGCCCAAATATTGCATTCAAAAGTACCAGGGGCCATAGTCAGCAGGTAGGAGGCGGGCAGCCAGGCCTCTCCAATGCCAGGTGGCGAGGCGAGTTCCACCACAGAGTCTTTATAATGGTTTGGGTAATCCATTCGTGCTTCTTTCAGTTTAAACTTATACAGGGACAAACAGTATCCAGTGGTTAGCACACAGTAACAGTTATTTCCAGACTTTTGTAACAGGAATATCTGCTAAACGGCTTTTAACTCCTTTTATGCCTGGGGGTGCCGTTACAGTGGTGAAGGCCACTGTGACGAGACCAATCTCGCCACATTGCATTGGAGAAGCCTGGTTGCTCGCCTGCTGCCTTTGGACTATGGCCCCCTGTTAAAAGACATCTTTTTTACCTGCAGAAAAGCTTCATTCGTGCTTTTCTGCCTGGGGTTCGGTAGATTTGTTTGAATGTGTTATACCTCAGATAGGAATCCCATGGAGCCCATTCGTATGAAACTGACTGTAAAGACTTTGGCTCCATGGCGATTAAACTGTATTCGTGTGGTCTGAGCGCCATTCGCTTAATAATGTGCGCTCGGACCTGAGCTATCTGGGGATATGTTACATGTCTGTGTTTTATGTAATAAATGTGACTTTATGTATTTTAAAGTGTTTTGTGTCTTTTGGAGTCTTGTGTCTGTCCTGGGAGATAATTGAATTACTCTCCAGGATAGAAGACTCTGAAACTGGTTTGGGCCAGAAAGCCATGCTTCATTTAGTCACAAAGGACTTTTTACTAACTTTTGAACCCCTGGTCTGATTCATGCCATTTTTTAATATGTTGTTCCCCTGAATGGATTGATTGTGAATATGTAATTTATGTGAATGTGATGTATGGCTTTAGAGTTATGAAAGTTGGGTAGAAAGTATGTTTTAACTGTATGTGTAATTGAGTTTCCTCTCAGGATAAGGGGAGGGAATATGTGGGATGTAACTGTGATGTGATTGGTTGTTTTATACCTCCCTGTGGGCGGTCCTGTATTTGAAAACACTGTAATAAAAATCAGGCTGGGTGTGCCAGCACCTCAGACCACTGCTTGACCCTCAACATGGAGCCTTGTCTCGTTCTTGGGGGGATTCACTGTATGCTGTTAGAGACTGATTGCCAGGAGTGTAAGCCGCTTGGGAGCTTTTCCTGTTCGTCTGCTAGCAGCTATTTGGGAGGTTCCAGTTCGGCAGTTGGAGTGCTATTTTGTATCCAGTTCGTGAGTTTTGGTGTTCTGCAGTAGCTGTGCCTGGATCTCTGGAAAGGGGGCCGATCGCCTAAACGGTTTTTACCCCTTGTGTGCAAAACGGTCCGTTACAGCCACCTTTCCCCATTGTCGTCTGGTTGGCCCTAGTTTAGTAATCAGGAGCCTCGCACTGAGTGCCTTGCTTAATCTCTCCTCCATCTTGCAACCTTCCCTACCCAGGCTGGCTGTCGTCTGCAAATCAGGATTGTGCGACTGACCTTTTACTCTATTAAATCCCCCCCCCCCCATAGTTTTGTGTGCATTCATTGGGTTAGAAGGTGTTACTTCATGGTAAGGTGAGTTTCTCCTGTATGTGTGTGTTACAGTGCTCTATGGCTACTTTGTGCATGTGGTATGCTCTCCGGGGGGGTGTTAGTTAGCTTACGTTTCCAGTTTATGCATCTGGTTTGCATTGCCCATATCGGGATGTTTGAGATAGTGTAGCGGTAATGGGCTTGTAGCTCTGGGGTCTGTCTAGGCTTAGGAAATGGGGGGATACATGGTCCCTTTCCTCGCTAGTGTTTTTACCTGTGGTTGGGCGAGCTGGCAGTGAATGGTGATTAGGTGACTGCCCTCCCTGGGTAGCGTGGGATCTGGTTCTAGGCTTTTAGGGGGCCATTGCTCTCTGTGGTGTGTGTCTGCCCTTTGAGTGTTGCGTGTGTTCCCACTATGCTACTCACAGTATACAAAGCAAATTACATAATGTTGTAATCTTATCTCTTAGTCGTGTATATGCTCTGCGAGGGTCACATTGGAGTGTTGGTAAGTCTCTGTTAGCCAGAAAGTCCCAGGGTGTAGGATCCACGTGCCATTTAGCCTCTGGGGAAGTTTCTTTATGGGGTGGTTTCAGAAGGTTAGGAGGCCTGGGTGGCTGCAGTGAGTGTGTACATGGGCGCCCCGGATGTCTGTGTATTGCTTTTAGGTGTGGAGGTGCTCGCGTCTGGATGGTCTACATCTTCTTTATTGATCATTCCTGTCTGCCGTAAGTCGTTCTGGGCATCTGTGGTTGTCCAGCTCGATGTGCAGGAGACCCAGTTGGGCAGCGAAGTCCTCTGCTTCCGTAATATCATGTAACGTGTGTTACGGTACCTCCAGTAATTAAATGCACAAACTGCCGTTTAGTGAATGTTCCCCGTTCGCAATACTGTGGTCTGGTACGGCCCTTTCCCTTCTCGAGCTCCAAATACACGAATCGCCAATAGCATCCGAACGGCAATAGTTTCCAAGCAGCAAATAATTCCAATAAGCAGTCTCTAGGCGCCGGTAATAAAATCCCCCCAATAACGAGACCAAGCTCCGCTTTGAGGGTAAAACACAAACTGAGTTTACTGGGGGCTACCTGCCCGTATTTATGCAGGTCTCCCACTTGGTGGACACTCCCCTAAGGGACCAAATGGGAGACTGAAATGACAGAAGGACATGGGGACATTCTGGACATACATCCCCCTAATATTCCCAGCATGCATCACAGTTTCCTCCCCTCTGCTTGGGAGATAATTGGGAAGTAATTCAATTATCTCCGAGAGCAGAGGCAAATCGCCATTTTAAATACAAGTCACAAAACACATAAAAATATATAACTTTATAACTACCGAACATATTGCATTCGTGTAACACATCCCCAGATAGCCTGGATCAGAGTGCATATTATTGGCGAATAGCGCTCAGATCCCATAGGCATAGTTCAATCGCCATGGAGTCAAAGTCTATTACAGTTCTTCGGTATGCGATTGACTCCATGGGAAGGCTATCTGGGTTAAGTCCATTCGTATTGTTGAATCTCCCGAACGGCCGGCATTCGCATGCTTTTGTCGATTGAGAAGGGGAGGTCGACGGCTTCAGCGGTGTTCGGTTGAAAAAGTGTCAGTTTTTAGTTCCATGGAATAACTGGCGAACACCGCTGGGCTTTCGCATAGTTAAAATGGCCGCCGCCTCGTGGTCGACATACGAACGACGACCATCCTGTATTCGGTTTTAATTGAGAAGTGTCTGTGGTTAACCACAACGCTCTAATTGGGATCAATAGGTTAACCAGCAGCACACTTCTCTTCAGGGTGGCCGTCCGTTCGGTAGTTCCGTTCGACAAAAAAAAGACATTCCCTTAAACAAAGCATACGAATGGGGAGATTCATGCAAACGGCAAAACAGATGAACACAGTACTTTTAGTC